TCCTCCCGAGTCCTCGCTGCCCTCCATGTCTCCCATGGCCTTAACGTAACTGCCACTGCGCATCCGCCTGCACGGGATCTCGCCCGCACCGCCTCCTCCCTTACCCAGCGTCCCGCTCCAGTCACCTGCAGGCACCTGCCAAAAGACATAATACACTTACACTAGCCGCAATGGATCTGGGGCAAAGGATGTCAATTAAAACATCGGAAATGTACTTTAAAATACATGTGATGAGTTCTTTATAGTAGTAATTAGCAATTTATAGTAATGTATCTTTTTTTAAATAAATATTTGTATTTATTATTATTATTGCATGTATTATTGATGTATTTATTATTAAAAAAGTAAACAATTTTGTTCAAATATTTGATTTTTAAATATTTAATATTATTAATATTTGTGTGTCTGTGCTTGTACAGGATTTATTACTATAATTGTTAGTGCATTTATTATTATTATTATTATTATTATGATTATTATACAAATATTTGAAAACAAATTTGAAACATATTTGAAAAATGCTGTTCAGGTATTAATAATATATTTTTACCAAATCATTATTATTATTATTATTATTGTGTATATAAATATTTGTTAAAAAATACATATAATATATTATAATAATTATATTTGTAATAACAATGTTGGTTTTATATTTTTATGTTTAAAAATCATTATTATTGTATTTATTATTTTTATATATTTATTATTATTTATTATATATATTTATTATTATATTTACATTTTTTTATTATATAAAACATATAAAAAATAATAAATAAGTGATAAATAATAAAAAAAAGTGATACAAAATGGCTATTTGGTATTACAATCAACACACAGCCTACTATGAAATCTTCTATGCCTTATCCTTGTTGTTTTTGTCACAGTCTTAAGAAATCTCTCTCCCATTTGTCTTTCTTTCATGTCTGTGTGTTACCTGTAGGAAGTTGCAGGTCATCTCCTGGCCGTGGCAGGACTTGGACTTGAGCAGGGTCCGGTTGACGGTGGTGGAGCTCTTCTGAAGCACCTGTCGGGCCTGACTGAGTGTCAGCGTGGACCACGAGCCTCTCTTCACAAGCATGTGTTCCTCCGTCTGGCCCGTGGAGGGCGGCAGGCTGACCGTGGGCTTGAGGTTGCCGCTGCTCTTGGAGGATTTGAGTGAATGCGCCGCGATGGTGTTGTAGCCCTGCGGATGCGGTCTGGGAGCCGCCTGACTGTCCGACACGGCCCTGCCCAGCGTCATCATGCTAAGAGGGTTTCGATACGCCACCGCTAATGGGCCTGTGGCGGGTTGAGCCGGCGGCTCGTCCTCCAAACCGTCATCCGAGCTCCAGAAGCCTGAGAGATTGGGTCGCGGACGGCGTTTGGTGCCTTCGGTCTTGGCGTGGTCTTTGCTTTTGCTTCGCGTATTATTGATGTATTTATTATTAAAAAAGTAAACAATTTTGTTCAAATATTTGATTTTTAAATATTTAATATTATTAATATTTGTGTGTCTGTGCTTGTACAGGATTTATTACTATAATTGTTAGTGCATTTATTATTATTATTATTATTATTATTATTATAATTATTATACAAATATTTGAAAACAAATTTGAAACATATTTGAAAAATGCTGTTCAGGTATTAATAATATATTTTTACCAAATCATTATTATTATTATTATTATTGTGTATATAAATATTTGTTAAAAAATACATATAATATATTATAATAATTATATTTGTAATAACAATGTTGGTTTTATATTTTTATGTTTAAAAATCATTATTATTGTATTTATTATTTTTATATATTTATTATTATTTATTATATATATTTATTATTATATTTACATTTTTTTATTATATAAAACATATAAAAAATAATAAATAAGTGATAAATAATAAAAAAAAGTGATACAAAATGGCTATTTGGTATTACAATCAACACACAGCCTACTATGAAATCTTCTATGCCTTATCCTTGTTGTTTTTGTCACAGTCTTAAGAAATCTCTCTCCCATTTGTCTTTCTTTCATGTCTGTGTGTTACCTGTAGGAAGTTGCAGGTCATCTCCTGGCCGTGGCAGGACTTGGACTTGAGCAGGGTCCGGTTGACGGTGGTGGAGCTCTTCTGAAGCACCTGTCGGGCCTGACTGAGTGTCAGCGTGGACCACGAGCCTCTCTTCACAAGCATGTGTTCCTCCGTCTGGCCCGTGGAGGGCGGCAGGCTGACCGTGGGCTTGAGGTTGCCGCTGCTCTTGGAGGATTTGAGTGAATGCGCCGCGATGGTGTTGTAGCCCTGCGGATGCGGTCTGGGAGCCGCCTGACTGTCCGACACGGCCCTGCCCAGCGTCATCATGCTAAGAGGGTTTCGATACGCCACCGCTAATGGGCCTGTGGCGGGTTGAGCCGGCGGCTCGTCCTCCAAACCGTCATCCGAGCTCCAGAAGCCTGAGAGATTGGGTCGCGGACGGCGTTTGGTGCCTTCGGTCTTGGCGTGGTCTTTGCTTTTGCTTCGCCGGGTCGCTTTGGCCGCATCGCCGGCTTGGCCCGCGGTGATGCTCCCTTTGACCGCCGAAACCTCCAGGGATTGGGACTTGGCGAAGAGTTTCTGGACGGACTGCACCAGGTTGCGGATGCGGCTGGGACTCTCGCTGCGCTGCTTGGAGCCGCGGCTGCGCCGGTGGAACTGCAGCGTGCTGAAGCCGTCCCGCTGCAGCGGTAGGTGGCGCTCCAGCTGGTCCAGCAGGTTGGCCGGGAGCCGGTTCATCTTGGCGGCGGCCGCGGATGAGATGGTGGCTGTGCCGCTGCTGATCATGGCTGGAGCACCCAGTCCCAGACCCAAACCCATGCCCATGGACATGGAGGACGTGAGGGTCCCGGAGCGACTACCGGTCTGAACCACACAAGCCTGCTGAGACAAAACACACCATCATAAAATTAATTGAAAAATATTCAGATACACTATTTACACTACTTACTATTTTAAGTGTGAGCTAAATATGATTTCAAAACTGTACATTTGTTGACTGTATTACATATATCACATGCACAATATTAGAACAGTTTAACAAATATTTATATGGTATTATTAATTATTAAACAAATATTTGCATTTATTATTATTATTGCACTTATTATTTATGTATTTATTATCATACAAACAATTGTACAGTATATCACCTGTACAATATTACAATTAGTTCAAATATAAATAAATTATTTTGTAACAAATATTTGTATTTATTATTAAATATATTATTATTATTATTATTTATGTTTATTATACCAATGTTTGTATAACACATGCACAATATTATAATTAGTTTAAATATAAATAAGTATTTGTTAACAAATATTTTATGTATTATTAATTATTATACAAATATTTCTTCTTATTATTATTATAATATATTACTACACTTTTATTTATTATATTATCTTAAAGCATTTAAAAAATGTCAAGAAAAGTTCAAATGAAGCCCTGTTTGACTGACACTGATTTTATCACCAGAGACTGTCAACTGGCTGTAATTTTCGGTCATACATATTAATATCACATATAAATATACATATTATTTTTTATATATACGTTAATATACATATTCATTTTTTGCATTTAAAATTGCAAAATGTAAACATTTCAAATATTTTTATTTATTTATTATGTATTTCTTTATTTATGACAACAAATGCACAAATTAATTATTTAAATTAAAAGTTCCGATTCGCTACAGGAAGCCTTTGTTCACCCCCCGGAGCCGTGTGAGACACTTTTTTTTATGGATGGGCGCTTTTTATTTCACTTCTTTTGGACTGAAGCCCTGCAACACCCGCTGACTGCAATGATAGAGCTTGGAATAGCCAGGACAATTTTTAATGTAACTCCGACTGGATTCGTCTGAAAGAAGAAAGTCATATACACCTAGAATGCCTCGGGGGTGAGTAAAAAACAGCCTGATTTTCATTTTTGGGTGAACTAACCCTTTAATATTAATATATTATTACGAATTTCAATAAATATATATTAGTCAACAAACTTACCTTTTTAAACTCAAAACATATGAATTTAAATTGTGATGCATAATGCATGAAATAATGGACAAGATGAATAATTGCATGAATTTTTGATGTGTATTCCATGCTTTTTTTATCGATTTCTATTCAAATGTATATTGTTTATAAATTTATTTTATATTTTACATCTACACTATTGTTCAGTCTTGTTGAGTCAGTACTTTTTTATTTGAAGGAGAAGAATACATTTTTTAGCAAATTCTTTTATTCAGCAAGGATGCATTAAATTAATCAAAAGTGACAGTAAAGACATTTATAATGTTACAAAAGTTTTCTATTTCAAATAAATGCTGTTCTTTTGAACTTTCCACTTATAAAAAAATAAAATTAAATAAAATGTATTTCAGTTTCCACAAAAATATGAAGCAGCACAACTGTTTTCAACATTAATAATAATCAATATAATATAATATAATCAATATTCAAATAATAAGAAATATTTCTTGAGCAGCAAATCAGCATATTAGAATGATTTCTGAAGATCATGTGACACTGAAGACTGGAGTAATGATGCTGAAAATTCAGCTTTGATCACAGGAATAAATTACATTTTAAAATAAAAAAAATAAAAAAAAAGTTATTTAGAATTGTAATAATATTTCCCAATATTACTGTTTTTACTGTATTTTTAATCAAATAAATGCAGTGTGGTGTCAGTACCTGTGTGTAGTCGCTCTGCTCCGGCTGGTTGGTGTAGTGGAGGCGTGGGAAGGTGCTGCTGGTGGCCAGCTGGTTGTTGAGGGGCAGCAGGCAGTCCGACTGCAGCGTCGTCGGGGTGGAAACAGGAAAATGATGGAGGTGAGGATCCAGAGTGGCGTAATGGTTGACGGTGGGGCTCAGGAGGAAGGCAGCATGGGGGTCCGGGGCCAAGGGACACAGGGGCTCCTGGGGGCCTGCAGTAGGGTCGCAGGTGTCGGACAGATGGTGACTACGGTTGGCCCCTAAGCCTTTCATGGTTGCTGCGCAGGGTCGGCTCTAGAACATGATCCCAGATGAAGAGAGACGACGGCCCTGGAGGGCGACCCCTACAGGGCAGACATAGAAACACACGGTCCGTGTCAGTTCAGATCCAGCTGGTTGCAATGATGAACCTGCTGAGCGTAAGTGCACACTGGTTTTCTTCAATCATGTTTTCAGGTCTTTGCAATTAACTGAAATGAAATACATTTAAAGAAACACTAAAATTACTAAAACTGAAACTGAAATAAAAATAAAGCTAATTAAAATGTGTGCTTTTTTAATTGAAAGAATATTAAATATAACTAGCACATGAAAAATTAAAACTTAAAGAGAATTAGCAACTAACTAAAATAAAATATGTTTAAGAAATATTAAAATGATTAAAACTAAAACTGAAAATAAATTAAAGCCAAGTAAAATATATAAAAATATTTTGTTCATAGAAATAAAATTAAATATAACTAGTACATAGATGAAAATGTACACAAACATTTTTTTCTTAAAAACGTAATCGAAACTTACTGAAAAACTGAAATAAAGTTTAATAAATACTAAAAATACTAAAACAATTAAAAATTTAAAGAAACTAAAAAATAAATTGACAAAAGCACCACAAAATTACTAAATCTGATGTTCACATCTTTGCTTTTCCATTTGAAATTTGGCAGTCACTGTGCGTTCGCGAAAGTGAAAACGCAAACGGTAATGCAAGATGTGCAATTGCGCTTGGATTATGTCACAATTTATGCGTCCACATATGGAAAACGCAATAAAAAATATAATTTGCAATTCCTTTTAAAAAATAGTCTGGATTATCCTTCCATACTTACGTTCACACAGAACGCGTTTTTCAGTTCCAAAACTGTGGACCAATCAGAAGACCCCAGAGGCGGGGCAAGTGGAATCTGTGTCTCATTCAGCTCGTCTGCTGTTTCGTTCAGATATGTTTTATGTATAGTTTCACAACACTAAAGTCAGATCATTCTGTTTTTTGCTTCAAATTTCGAAATTATACAGTCTAATTTAGATTAAAAACTACTCATGCTGCATGTTTGCTGCATCTTTGTTTAGACCATGATTAAAATCCAGTGGTTGCCTCTAATTTTAAATGGAAAGAGCACAGACAAAGCCTTAGTTTGTTCATATTAAGAGATTTCTTTTATTTGTGTAACTTACTTGTTTGATTTGGGGTTTGTTTTAAAATTTCAATTTAGTTTTGTTATATTTCAATTTCACAAAGAAACGTGCAGCAATAGCCTAATAAAACGCCACCTTTTAATTTACTGTCTTCAATCTCAATTTGTAAAAAAAAATTGAGAGAAAATCGAATCGTGAAATCAAAATCGTGAATCGAATCGTGAGTCGAGTGAATCGTTACATCCCTACTCGCCATCATGCTCATTGTTGTACCTGCCAGTGACTAGCAACCAACTTCCTGTTTACACTTTTACGCGCATGCCCAGTGTGCAGGAATGGTCATGTGACATGCGTTTTCGGTTGTGTAGTGGGGACGGGGATCGTTTCTGAAACGCAGTGAAAATGCCGGTGTAGACGAGGTTTTAAAATGAAAACGCAGGGCGTCTCGCGTTTTTTAGAAGCAAAGATGGGTTCTGTGAATGACTCCTTAATATCTAAAACGTATATTCCATCTCAAGTAAACATATCTTGATTTTTTTCGATTTTGGTTTTTGTAACAGAAAACAAGACAAAAACACTGAGGAAGACAACATTTTTTGCATTGTATTTCTTCATTATTTCAAACAGTGAACAGCAGGTTTCTATAGTCTACATGCAAATTCTTCCCAATCAAACTCTCTCATGCTCACATTCACACTATTCTACTCGCGCCCGTGAGGCTCATGAAACCAGCGTCTTCATCATCTGTGAGTCGCTCTTCCCATCGACATTCATCTGGAGCTGGATATGTGAAAGTCACACACTCATTGTGAGCCGAATCGCCCGAGACATCGACTCAAACGTCTCCGCAGATCGCAGCGCCATTCACAAAACCTCACAAAGAGCTCTATTGGCATGCTAAACATAGATGTTTTCATCTATCATCACTGCTCTCAATGGGGCCGCGCGATGAGTCACGGCGCCGTCAAAGAGCCTGAACAGCTCGTTAGCATTCGGCCCGCAGCTGCGCCTCCTCCCGAACGAACGGGCCCCCGGAGGAGCGCCGTCACCGCTCGCGCTCGCAACCCGAGGCCATTACAAACACCTCACGCGCGTTTGCTACGAGGAAACGAGTTAGTTGACAGTCATTTTGCGTGCGTTTGAAAGCCACCAACTGGGGTCCTGATGCCTGGCTGAAAATAAAAGAAATCAAAACGCGTGTTTCGTGTGTGAAATGTGAAACTCTCACGAGGAAATGTCACTCCAGTGACCTTCATTGTGTCGTTTGCGGTTTGTTTAAAGGTTGAAATAAAAATTCTGCTGCCATTTACTCACCTTTATGCCTTATGGGGTTTAAAAGACGATTCATATTCAGTAAGATTAATGCACTTAAGATTTAATGCACTGACACTACAGCATTAGAGCAAAATCTGAATCGAATTAAGCTGAATAATAACAATTTTGTCTTTTTAAGAGCTGCTTTATAGCTGAAATGTATTCTTTTTTTCATAATTGATTCATTCGACAACATTAACACATCAACTAGCATATAATTTGTTTTAAAAACAATTTTGTTAATTGAAATAAAACAAGTAGTAGATAAAAATGTTAAACTTAAAAAAATAAACTGTTGTCTTGAAATGTTGTCTTGGCAACTAACTGAAATCAAATAAGTTAAAAAAATACTAAAATTAAACTAAAACTGAAATGAAGCTTATATATATATATATATATATATATATATATATAAGATATATAACTGAAATAAAATTAAAATATCCAGTAGATGAGCCAGCCATGCCATAAATGCTCATTTTCATTTAATGTCGAAGTACTCAAATAACTAAAACTAAATAAACTAACATTAATAAATAATAAATTACTAAAACTTTAAAGTGAAAACAGAAAATATAAAATAATATGCTATAATTTATTTATAATTTTATTTGATGTATGTCAAAATCTGTCTATGTGAAACATGAATTATTTAGGGGCTCAAAAATAATAATTACAACTATTTATTTCTAATGGACTCAAACTTATTCAAATACATTAATGTCACAGATAAAAGCATTAAAGACTCAAAAAGTGGCTTTAGAAGCAAATATATTTATTTAAAATCATTTAACATTACATTTTATAACAAAATGTTAACATTTTAAGATATTTTTTGAATAAACTGTATTAAATTACCACTTATAATCTAAATATTTATTATTTATTAACTAGACTGTTAATTCTTTCATTAATTAATTAATTAATTAATTAATAAGAATGATATATCATTATTAATTTATAATTAAATAATTATAGTTAATTATTTACATTATTTATGAACTAGACTTTATGAAGCATTTTAAAAGTCTGGCTATGTGAGATGTGTGAAAACAAAATTAGCATCTATAATCAAAATATTTACAAAGTACATAAATAAAAAATATTTTGATTAAAATATGCATGAATGTTTTGCACGATGTGAATTAAACCAAAACAGCAAAATAAGCCAAATGACAATCACATTTGGAAAGTGTTTCATCTAAATCCATTCAGTGCGGTTTTACCTCTTAGAAAAGCCTCACAACACTGAGGCCCAAAGCTGAATTTAAAGCAGGACATGCAGCAGCGGGACGTCCCGCCTTCCTCAGATCACAGTGTGATTACTGACCCAGCGCTCATCTCTGTCCTCTACTGGAAACACAACCACATCAGGAACAACTACAGCACTGAGCCAGAGTGTCAAACAGCACACTATCACACTACTGTAATATGTCTGTACAGCAGGCACATTTACTGTATGCATACAATATCCAGATGACCTGCTACAAGTTTGTAGTAAACAACAAAGCCCACTATATATATCCAACAATGCAATGCTATCAACTTGACCATCCACCCAATTTTCAAAACTGCAAAATATTTTTTTCTGAGACTGTAACCTTGATTTTGCTTGTTGAATAAAGCATGGAACCTAGTGAGTGTGCGTACGGTACAAGTGCACAATGCAGCATACCAGCATTTGAAACACTTATTATGCCATGATGCATAGTGATTCATTTACTATTTCATAAGCACTGTAATAAGAATCAGACAGGGAAAAAATATAAATACATTTCACACTTTTAAGAGCGCTCCAAACAAACTGATCACTAGTAAAACCATTAAAACATTTTCGTTACTTAAAATAATATACATATATATATATATATGTATTTTATTTCAGCTAGTTGCCAATGCAACATTTCTGATTTTTGTTTAGTTTACCTTGATGTACTAAAATAACAAAAACTGAAATAAAATTAATACAAACTACCTAGACAAAAAATAAATAAATAAATAAAAATGACTTTAAAAACTTTTAAAATTAATATGAAAATAGAAAAATAAAAACAAATTCTACATATTAATAAAAACTTTAAAGACATCAAAAAATTAAAATAAAATAAAACATAAAACATAAAAACGACAAAACACAGCAAAATTACTAGAACTTTAACTAACATTATTATAAACAATATATAAATATATAAAACGAATCAAAATATAAATAAAAACTATATACTGTAGACATATCTTAAAAAACAATAACAACTACAAATGACAAAAAACCAAACAAATTAATAGTTATAAAAAATCAAATAATATAGTAATAAAATCAAAATAGTAATAAAAACTATATAGACTTTAAAAGAAACCTACTAAAAATGACAGAAACAGAATGACTAAAAGTTTAACTAAAGTTAAAATGAAAACATAAAATATAAAAATTTGTTGAAAATATTAATAAAAAAACAAAAACTAATAAAAATGACAAAAATCCAACTAAAACGTTAACTAAAATGAAAATTTCAACTGAAAATATAAAATTGTAAACTAATTCAAAACATTAATACAAACTTTAAAGATATCTCAATGATACTAAAATAACACTGCCAGTCATCTGTGCTAACCA